GTACAAGGTTTAAAATTATCACAACTAATTCCAACATAAAGATGAATCCTTCACACAACTTCCATCCAATGCTTAATTACTTATCATTTTAAGGAAATAAATAAAAAAAACTACTTAAAATTCATGGAGAAAACATAACCATAATTAATTTAAAAGTAGAAATCATGCAAACAAATAAGAATTCTAAATTAAAACCAAATGTAGTCACAAAGTCGTCACTAAGATAAAAACTTATCTTAAATCCTCTCCACTAAACACTTAAAGTTTCTTTGAATCTCTTCCTTCCCTTAAAATACAAACTACAACTCAAAATAAAAGGAAAAGGGGGCAGCAACGTGTGTAGAAGAGCCACTCGAAAAGAAGAACTGAGAGAAAGACTGGCGAGAGAGAGTTAGTTCTTCAATCCAACACTTCCTTTTTAATTTTCCAAATGGTGCCTTGGCGTCTCTTCAAAATGTGCCCACATTCAGTGAATCTTTCAAGAGTTGCCTCCTTTCAAAAGCCAATTGAATGTGTTTTCGTGTCCATTAACTATTTCATATGTTTTCACTAAGGGTTGCTTTAAAAACCTCTTCAAAATATCATCCAAATTCATTTAATTATCGAGTAACTACTTCTAGCGCTTAAGCTCGAGGTACTTGGCGCTTAGGCGAGGTCTTCTTGGTTTTACTAGCGCGTAAGCACCAGTTCTGGACGCTTAGATGCCATAGTTCATTTGCGCCATTTTTCATCCGTTTCATTGTACCTAAAATAAAAACACACAAATACCTTCCATTAAAGCACAATATCTCAAAAATGGGCATAAAAATTTTTACATAAAGACTGTATATTTTAGGAGTATCAGGTATCAACAACTCCCAACTTTGGTCTTATGGCCTATAAACACTATCACAGCTTGTGCAGCTTCGAAATATGGCCTATGTAGCCAACAAATGTTTTCACAGCTCATGTAGCTCCCATATCTAGTCTTTACGGCTTACATACATAATTACAACTCCCCACCATAGCTTAGGTAACCAACTATGACCTACAAGGGTCATAGCTCATGCAATTTTCAGCTCCAGGCTTTTTTACCTATGGAAATTATTACAGCTCCCTGTTATAACTAATATGACCAACTGGCCTTCAACTCTAACCTATGTTACCTATATGGCAACTTTCATAGTAACAAGCACTTTCTCTTACATCCTTGGTGGATTTTCATTAACTTCTTTTGCTACATGATACACTAGTCAAATGGACATGCTTCGACTAATAACCTAAACAAGGCCAAACTTTTTTAGTGGCAAACAAGGCCTCCACTCACACCCATGATAGTTAAGCCCTAGAGGCAAGACTCGATGGAAATCCTTAAAATTCAATCCCAAGGGGCAATACTCCATTGGAGGATACCTTAACTGTAAAAATCAAGCCAAGGTGATAAGGCTTTTTGGGAAGCTACGATGCCCCTGGAAGATAAGCCAATGAGGCAAGTCTCAATGGGAAGCTACCATACCTATGAAGGAATAGCCCAATAGGCAATTTTGGATGGAAATCTAGTAGTTTATATATTCCTCACTGGAAAGACCCCTTAGGAGCAAGTGACAGACAAGGCCACATACCCCCTTGAAGATGAGCCCATGAGGCAAGTCACGATGGAAAGCTAGTAGTGGATATATTCCTCATTAGAAATACTCCATGAGAGCAAGTAGTTGACTTGACATCCACTCAAAAATCTTAAAAGATGATAAGCCTTAAAAGATGCAAGTTGATGCCTCAAAGGGAACAAATCTCATAAAGCATGAGCCTCAAAAGGTACATGGTCTTTCTATATAAAAAGTGCATATGGTAACTTTGATTACAGGCTTATACATATTTGAGAAGTCAAAGAATCTAAAAGGCATAATCCTCAGAAGAGTTTGATGCATGCTCCTATAATAGAGACGAAGGAATTTAAACCATCCTAAAAAAGAGGCAAGCATAGCTTAAAAAAATTGCAAAAGCAACTTCAAAAGCTAAATCAAAATTTTACTACAACTAGTAGAAGAAAGACGTAAAGGCAAACACACTATAATAGTGTATAAATGTCATATTAGTTGATTGAAGAAACTACAACAACCAACACGCACTAGTAAAAATGTTTCAACATGTGAACAAAAGAAAAAATACGGATATACTACAACATCCTCCTCATCACACAAGCCCCACAGCTTCATGTTCTCTTCTTTAGAATTCAACATCCTTGCTTGAAAATCCTTCAAAGTCTCTGCACATTGATCAAGTAGTTATGGGCTCACTAATGAAGTGGTCAATTGTTGCAAGTTGGGTCTTCCATGCCCTCAAAGAAAATGTCAACATATTTTTAAAAGGCATCTGAATCACCTCGTCAAAATTTTGGTAGTTATGCTAATTTTTAGTGGGATGGGATTCTCCATAAATTGGTATCACAACAATATAGAAGATCTCCCTGAAAAGATGATGATACCATGGAGAATTCCTTTTGAATCGAACAATAATAAAACTTCAATTTGTCTTTACGGAGAATCCTTTCTAGAATGTGTGGTGGGGAGACTAACTTTTCAAGAAGAAGAACATTCTCAGTAATGCACAACAAGGAAACTCCAACTTTTCTTCACAAAAATCCCCTCTGTAAAGAGTAGTGGGAAAATAACAACTTCTATCCTTGAAGAATCCTCTTCAAAATGTACGGTAAGAAAACTTTAATTCTTTTTCACATAGAATCTCATTTGAAATGCTTGTTTAAGAAAATGTGTAACCCCTTCCGTAATACATGAAAGTTAGGCTCAAATTATTTCTTATCTTTCTGGATTATTTATAGGCTTAAAATGGTATTTATAGGCCTAAAATGGCAAAAAAAAATAAAAAAAAATTTAAACTATTCCATTTTCAATTTGGTCCACAGATCCCCACTTGAACCATCTCACTTCACATAATTGGGTGGTTGTAGGCCTAATACATGTCAGAATATATGTTTTGTGCATTCTAACAAGCAATTTGTGTGCCCACAACATAACCACATTAAAAATTGCATGCAAGCATGGTCCCGCTATTTAGATCAATCCCATGTGAGGATCCCACTGCTCAATCTCGTCCGCATAGACATGGCAGGCACTATTTGATCCCATCTCACAGATTGCTGACAAATAGCCCCTACACCCTTTGGACATCTCATGGTTCAATTAACACAATTCAGGATCGCTCTACCGGCTCATTATTGGCTTGTTCCACCGTCAACCTGCGCTACTCCAGTAACCCATGCACATGACTCAACCCATTGGGTTGACCCATGGGCAAAAAAGTAGAGGATAGGACTCAAGCACGGGGCAGAAAGGATGAAGGGGAGACATTAAGCCAACCAAGTCATAGCTCGTTTTTATATATATATATATATTATATATATATATAACTACTTTTGAAAGCTTTTGGTGTCTGGTGCCGAGTTGAAAGACCAAATGAATTCCCAATTTGATAAGCTTATATTTAAAGTGAGCGTCACAATAAGACAAATCAAACAAACCAAGGATTACCTAATTCTGACATCATTAAGACACTCGAATATCCATAGAACGTGAAATGAATTCCTCTCGTGCAACCACTGATCATCACTTGTCTGTTGCAATCGACCATAACCGGCCTTCCTCTGCACATAGTGACGAATCCCCTTGGAGAACACAATGTGCATTACAACATCCTAGTGTATGTTGTGGGGTAACAAAGCACCCTATGGTGTAATGCAATGATGCACTCTGCATAAAATGTAACTACACCTCGTGAAGATGATGGAAAAACACAACCCAAAACAACCCCTTTACTCAAGATACATTGACTATTTACAAATGTTATTACAGCTTCTTACTATGAATTATGTGGTCTACAATACACTCAGTTCTTAACTTCAGTCTCTGCAACCTACTTACGTTATCACAACTCGTGTAGCGCACATATTTGGCCTCTACGGACTAAGAATATTATCACAGCTTATGTAGCTCCCAACTCCATCCTCTATGGCCTATGTATGGTATCACAACTCATGCAGTTATAAACTCTAGGCTCTGCGGCCTATGAATTTTATTATAACTCTTCGCTACAGTCTATGTGACCAACCATGGCCCACAGGGCTCATAGATCACACTACTGCCAACTTCTGCCTCTGCGACATACAAATATTATTACAGCTCTCTGCTACGACCTATGTGACGTGCCTACAACTCCCTACTACGACCTCTCTGGCAAGCTGGCACTCCTGAAGCAACTCACATGACTAATTGCTACAATGACTTTTACTTTTTCCTATGCACGGAGGACTACTGCCTCCGTAACAATCAACTAAAATCTTGGCCACCCGTTACGACCATTATTAGTAAACTACTGTTATACATTGTAATTTTTTTTTCTCTAATTCAGGAGAAGAGTGGACCTATGTACCTTCAATTACTTAGCAAATTATTTCAACTGGGTTAAACCCAGCAATTTTTTCCATTTTTTAGTGTTTTTTACAAATAAATTTATGGTGTCTACCTATCAGTTTTATTATTTCAGTTTGCACGATAATTCATAACTCTGTCATCATAAATCTTTCAACATGCATTAATAGTTATTTTATTTTCTTTATGTTTATAAAATAAATATAAATCAATTTTAACTCTTAAAGATGACTAGTTGACGGAAGAAAAATATCAATTCCTTTGCCCAACTCGTATTGCTCGAATGCGCTCTTCTTCCGAGCCGAGTCTGAACTACAGCTGCCAGTTACGGTCAATTCCCTGGGAGCACATTTCGTTTCGTCCACTAGTATACCCTCTTGTAACCTCCGGTATAACCCGGATATAACTCTCCTGTACCCCCAGAATAACAGAGAAATATTTGTGTACATAAGATGTACACAGCGCTGTGTACATCTTATGTTATTCTGGGAATATTTCTCTTCAGCTAGGGTTCAATCCATAGATATCGAGATTAACCAAGATGCAACGGTAAATACACGGTTAGGTGATCACACTAAAACGAGGGAAGAAGCCTAGAAGGTGTGGATGGCGAAGACGGCGACCGCTCCTTGGGTTCTCATCTGTCTGTTCGTTCTCCCCAGTACTTGAACCCGAAGGAACGAAACAATGATCTTCGCACAAGTGCCGCATAGTTAGAGCTAACGGGATTTCTTGACTTTTTTCTCCCTGGATTTCTTCGTCAAACCGTAACATCGATGCTCTGCGTTTGCCGTGATGGGCATTCTTTATTCTTCCGCTGCTTGCTTTTAGAAGAAAAAAGCTTCTTCTTCCGCGCTGCTTCTTTTGTTTTCAGTGTTTTTGAATTTGAGCGTCCGTTTTGGTGTTTGGCTTCAATCAAGTTCATGGCTGATTACAAGAGATCTCGATTTAAAGATGCTGGGTTTCGGAGGGTTCTTCCCTTGATTCTGGTAATATTTTTGGTGGTTTTGGTTATTTTGCTGTTGATTCGGAAGGGATCAGTTTCGGATTTTTCGAACATAGCAGTGGAAACTGAAAGTTTTTCTTTTGCTCCGTCTTCCATGGAGACTGATTATCCTATACTCTTGAACTTTGGAGACTTCAAACCAAAGCTTCCTAAAATGAGTGACTTTGCCATGTCTCTGGATAGAAGAAACTGTTTGCCACCAAGGAATATTGACCTCTTTCCAAATTTAGCAGAGAACCATGTAAAGATTGTTCTATATGTACACAACCGTCCACAGTATCTTCAGGTTGTGCTTAAGAGCTTGGCTAATGTGAAGGGGATTGGAGAAACCATGCTGGTAGTTAGCCATGACGGATACTTCACTGAGATGGATAGTATTGTTCAGAACATCCGGTTCTGCCAGGTGAAGCAGATTTTTTCGCCATATTCGCCACATCTCTATTCTGATAGCTTCCCAGGTGTTTCAAAAGGGGATTGCCAGAACAAGGATGATCCTTCTAAGAAGAATTGCAGTGGAAATCCAGATCAGTATGGCAACCATCGATCTCCAAGAATCGTTTCCTTGAAGCATCACTGGTGGTGGATGATGAACACTTTGTGGGATGGATTGCCAGAGACAAGGATGCATTCGGGACATATACTCTTCATTGAAGAAGATCATTTCATCTATCCGAATGCTTATCGAAATATCCAGCTTCTCGTGAAGCTGAAGCCAGAGAAGTGTCATGATTGCTTTGCTGTGAACTTGGCTCCATCTGATGTGAAGTCGAAGGGAGAAGGGTGGGAGAGCTTGATCGCGGAGAAGATGGGCAATATTGGGTACACATTTAACAGGACTGTTTGGAGGAAGATCCATGCAAAGGCCAGGGAGTTCTGCTGGTTTGATGATTATAATTGGGATATCACCATGTGGTCAACAGTTTATCCCTCGTTTGGGACTCCTGTGTACACTCTGAGGGGACCTCGGGCAAGTGCTCTGCACTTTGGAAAATGTGGGTTGCATCAGGGTCAGGATAAGAGTAGCGCATGCATTGATAACGGTGAGACAAACATTGAATTGGAGGAAATTGATAAAGTTCCTCATATAAAAGTTGACTGGCCAGTGCATGTATTCAAAAATCAAGAGGGATACCGTGCAGGTTTCAAAGGATGGGGAGGCTGGGGCGATCACAGAGACCAGGAGCTTTGCTTGAGTTTTGCCTACATGTATCACTCTTCTGAAGCCTTAACCAACTGAAGAGGTGTTTCCAAACAGGCATAAGATTTTTTGTCTTTGCAGAATTTTATGAATATGTTACTAACCAGGGTTTGAAAGGTAAAATCCTTCTTAGAAGATGCTTGTTATTCTAAAAATTTTTTATCTTTTTTGCCTTCTTTTGGTCTGTAAATTTTGCTCGCTTTAATTTGCTAATCAATATGCAGAAGACAATTGCTGACATGGTGATCATTAAATAATGAAAATTTTAGTCTTTTTGAGTTCATTATGTACCGTATTGTTATCTCTGATCGCCTAAGCTCTTTCAAGGAAAATTATATTAAGGAGAATTTTAAAGGAATGGCTCACCATTACATGAAGGCCTAAGCTCTTTCAAGGAAAATTATATTAAGGAGTGATTTCTGTGAATGATTTTTACATAGTAAGAAGATGGGATTCAACTGACGAAGAAAGCATTGTTAGCTGATGGAAAAAAAAGCTTTCTGAACTCTTATTTTTTTCACTGTGTTTTAGACATGATGCTTTTCTCTATCGACCATGGCAAATAAAAATGCTAGAGCTGGCCATTATCTGATTAAAGTACTATATTATTACTGGTTGCAAGTTATGCCTTTTTTATTGAGAATTTTAAAGGAATGGCTCACCATTACATGAA